GCATCTTCATATCTGGTCACATGGGCGGCAAGCCACTCCCATCCGGTCACATGGGCGGCAAGCCACTCCCACAAAGGAGGCCACACCCACAGAGTAGGTTCGAACAATTTTTGAAACCCACCACTGCATTGAGGGCAATTGATCCGCCAGTTGCAATTCATGTATCAGCTTGCTGAAACTTTTATTTTGAAGATTGCTGATCGGGTAGAACTCAGAATAATATGCAGTTCTTCAAAAGGCAGTATTCTTGCATTTGTTGTTTGTAGCTCACAGTTTTACAACTTTATCCATGCTAATACTAATAAAATGTGCTTATTGCAAAAGGTGTACAAATCTAACTAGAAGAAATTATTCAAGTTAAGATGGGAGTGTAAGAGCATCCTTCTAATTTTTTGCTTCAGGAAATTAAACCATAAGATCAAGATCTTACACTGCATGTCACATACACTGAAATGACTTGGATAATTCTTTTATGTGCTCATCTATCCCATACTCCGTTTCAATCTTTACACATTCATGTAAATATCTGAATAGGGATATCATATGACAACACCTCTGAAGGCAAACAGAAATAGGAACAAATCTTAATTAATAGCCTGGGATTTTAACAACTTGCAAAACACAATATCAGAAGTTAAATCAGGCAATGGACTATCGCAGTGGTCTCCAACCTTGGCAACTTTAAAACCTGTGGACTTCAACTCCCAGAGTTGCTGGCTGAGGAACTCTGGAAGTTGAAGTCCACAAGTCTTAAAGTTGCCAAGGTTGGAAACCAATGGACTATCGCATCAATATGGAAAGTTTCTATAAAAATGCCTTTCAACGTTAACATAATAGTATTGATTGATAAACCATGAGCCCATTACAGCTTCAACGTACCTTGTCTTCCTTTTTATCATTCTTTTCGAAAGATCTTCCTCCACCTTCTCCCCCTCCTTCTCCTCCTCCACCACCACCTCCACCATCTCCTCCACCACCACCTCCACCTCCAGCAGCACTTCCAATGCATCCTCCTCCTCCTCCACCTTCTCCACCGCCATCTCCTGTTCCAATTATTGGAGCAGTCCCAAATCCAGGCGCTGAGGTAGTCACGGCCCCCTTGAGTTGAAAGGAAGTTTCACTTTGTCTCTTTTCACTGGTCTCATTCTCCTTATTCTCACTTTTCCTTCTGACCTTCTCCACACAGGGTACCACCCCGAGCTGAAGCAGGCATTCCACAATGTTGAGGGCCACATCACAAATTCGGGAGCTGATGTCATGATTCAAGACCAAGTAAACTGCTTTAAGAACCACCTTGAAAGAAGAAATGTTAAATACTATATTCATTGTTTGCAAAAACCCCGACTGCAGGTCTCTAAAGAAATGGTCTAAATGTGGTATTATATAACAAAGGGACATGTTCAATTATAGCATAATAGCAGGGGAATGAAAATATGGGTGCACCATTTATTTAAGCCACCCTAAGCATGATCCAGATTAACTTTCTGGTAGCAGTGCTTTTTAGCTGATCCTTTGATAGAAAATAGTTTGCCTCTCCTTCTCTATCAACATCCTGAAAAAGATCAACGCTTAGCATTGTGCAGTTGGGTCCTGAAGGATACCAATAAATTAATATAAAGTCTCTGTCACAGAAACCTATTCCTCCACCCTAATCAAAGGTTCTGCATGCATGGAAGTTTAGAAATTAGCCCTTCCACTAAGATAGCAATTTTATTTGAGCAGTGTCTGGAATTTGAAAACAACTCAACAAGATTTAAGCCTGCTGGTCACTCAGTGGCACTAAACTTTATACTTCTAAACTCCCTGAGAAATGGCAAAATGAACTTCTTGATTTAGCAATAGCAATAGCAGTTAGACTTATATACCGCTTCATGGGGCTTTCAGCCCTCTCTAAGCGGTT